TTTCTAGAATTTTAATTGGCTGATTTTTTTCACACGCAATATGATTGGTCTAAAAGTGCTTTAATCTTGGCGTGACCGTGTCCGCGCCGTGTTTATGCCGTGTTCTGTGTATTTGATTGGATGGAGAGTAAATTCTCGTGCAATGTGATTTGTTTGGCGTATCCCTTGCTGTGTCGCGACCGTGTTCGTGCCAAGAACTTTTCACAGTCATACGAAAACTGCACTATACATGATTACTTCACTACTTACTTCGTGATCCGCATAGGTAATTCGATTCATCAGAATAGTCACCACAGTCATTATCACCATCGCAAACAAAACTCCTTGTAATGCATTTGTAGTTGTTGCACCTGAAATTACCCGTGCGGTCGGGACAAACTGAAAAAGCAGCACTTGTCACTTAAAGACATTTAACCAATCACAACATAGAATAAGAACAAAGGAATTAATCTTACAGGGGCACTTGGATGAATCCTACTTGTTTTTTGTTTTTGTTTTTTTTTCGAGTTATCCACTATGGCTTTTGAAAATAATGAGATGATAATGATGATATTGATGATAGTGATGATGATGATGATGATGATGATGGCAAGACTTTGATAACTAAGCGATAATAATAAAAGGATAAGGTTTTATACATGTGCGACAGCCTCGTTCGTCTTCTCCGTTGGAACAGTCACTTTTGCCATCACATCTCCATTGACTTGACACACACCGAGAACCGTATGAGCAATAGAAGTTTCCCCAGGAGCAGGTGGTTAGTCCTGTATTCACTATAAATTGATATTATCCAAATGTTAACAATGAATTACATACCATATTTTGATGTAATGATGAAGGTACAATGATTACAATTCACCTTTTCGGCGCTAGCCGTCACGGGGTATAAATTGTTTTATATTGTGTTACGGTCACCAAAAAGTCCGGACATTGTTCTCGGATTTCCGTAGAAGTGTACCGACTCTAAATGAATTATTTACTGAGAACTGTTTAGTGACACAATCCAAGCTAGCGCCGAAAAGGTGAATTATGACAGGAATGTTGATGATGATACATAATTATGAATATATACAAAGAGATAAATAAAGATTATCACATGTTAAGAGCCTGATATCGTTTTTATTCACGAGTTTCCATATCACGAACGAGCGAGTGAGCGATATGATATGAAAAACGAATGAATGAAAAAGATATGAAGCTCTTAACATATAATTTGCTTATTACATATTTAAATTTGATAAAATAACAAAATTTGCTGTTTCCAGTTTATCGTGAAGTGATATCGTATCACTTCACTGATATGGTTTTTATTCACGGCTTTATCACACCTGTGTAATAAGTAATGATGATG